AGTTTTGTTTTGTATCCAGATATTTTATGGAAATGTAGTCTGTCTTAGTTTTTGTAGGTTTTTTAAGTCTACTGTATGTATTTAGTTATTTGTATTATTTTTCCTCATTCAGTTGAAGAATAATATAAAAGAAAGAACGTGGTTTTGTTTCATTATGGTTGATGAAAAGCATACATTAATAGGGAGCTACTGAAGGATTATTTTTACTCTGCTGTTTGCAGCTATTTATAAATACATGTAGAAGTCTGCCACTTGGGTTTCCTGAATTGGAGAGGAAGGAACATTAATATATTTTCAAGATACCGCTCTCTCTCTTACTCTGACTTTACATCCAAGGTTAATTTATTTGTAGTCCAGAGTAAGCAATTTTGCTTTGCTTCACATGAGGAGAAACATGAGTTATAATAGAAGACAAATCTATGAATGATAACCTAATTTAACTCACTGCCTCAGCCAAAGAGTGTACTGTTCCTTGAAGACTTATTTGAAGAACACTGTAGATCAGATTAACAACGCTGGCCTGAAGTTCACTTTCTCCATGATGCTTACCTATACTTGTTTGAAGTACTTTACTGATCTTGGCAATCACAGCTTTGAACTTCTTTGAAGTCCATTGAAGTCCTTTGAACTGTACAACATTCATGACATATTCCAAAGCACTAAATACGAGTGTTCTATATTTTGAGATGCCTGTGGAAATTTATGAGGATTTGGGGGTTAGGATTCAACCACAAGCTTCTGTGATTCCTTACCTTGACTTTCATAATTCAGTGCACATGACCCTTATAAACTCTTTAATGGGCAGTTTGTAAGACTGTGGAAAGCTGTGACTATGACAGGCATTCATAGAAAGAAGACAGTGATGTGCATTGGCAATTTCCTCTGGGCTTGCTCATGGAGGAGCAGCTGCTGGGATGGGACAATGAAGCAGCAGCAGAAAAAACTGCTGTGGGGTTATATGCAGAGTAGTGGATCCCAAACTAGAAGCTGTGGGTTTCAGGTGCAAGACTGAGTAGCATGATATTTATGGCAGAATTTGGATTTAGAGAATATGTGTATTTACAGGTGCATGTAACTTTTAGTCTGAAAGTCAGAGCTGTGATGGAAAAGAGCTGGGGAGTAGCTGGTGCAGAGTTTGTCTGCAGGCTCTCCAAATAGTTTTCCGAATGGAGAAACACGTGGCTATTGGTATCTGGAAGCCCTTTCACAAGTAGATTAGCTGTTGCTTTTTTCTCAGTCCTAAAACTTGTCTGCAATAGAAGTAGTGGTCAATTCTTCACTGTTTGGGTTCCTTAACTGTTAAATGGTTACCAGTGAAATTTAAGTGCCTCTTCTTTAGCCTGGTGTATGGAGAAAAGTCTTTATCGTAAGGAAGAGGTATTTTCCTGTAGTGCTAATTGATTTAGGAAGATTCACTGTTACTAACTCAGTAAAACTCAGTAAAATCAGTAAGTTTGCAGATGACACGAAGTTGGGTGGGAGTGTTGATCTGCTCGAGGGTAGGGAGGCTCTGCAGAGAGACCTGGACAGGCTGGAGCCATGGGCTGAGGCCAACTGGAGGAGTTTCCATAAGGCCAAATGCCAGGGGCTGCCCTTGGGCCACAACAACCCCCAGCAGCGCTACAGGCTTGGGGAGGAGTGGCTGGAGAGCTGCCAGTCAGAGAGGGACATGGGGGTGTGGATTGACAGCCGGTTGAACAGGAGCCAGCAGCGTGCCCAGGTGGCCAAGAAGGCCAATGGCATCCTGGCTTGTGTCAGCAATAGCGTGGCCAGCAGGGACAGGGAAGGGATCTCACCCCTGTACTCGGCACTGGTGAGGCCGCACCTCGATTCCTGTGTTCAGTTTTGGGCCCCTCACTACAAAAAGGACATTGAATGACTCGAGCGTGTCTAGAGAAGGGCTACAAAGCTGGTGCAGGGTCTGGAGCAGAGGTCGTACGGGGAGCGGCTGAAGGAACTGGGGGTGTTTAGTCTGGAGAAGAGGAGGCTGAGAGGAGACCTTATCACCCTCTACAGCTACATGAAAGGAATCTACAGAGAGCTGGGTTTGAGCCTCTTTAGCCTAGTAGAAAGTGACAGGACAAGAGGGAATGGCCTCAAGTTGCACCAGGGAAAGTTTAGACTAGATATTAGGAAGCATTTCTTTACAGAACGGGTTGTTGGGCATTGGAATGGGCTGCCCAGGGAGGTGGTGGAGTCCCCACCCCTGGAGGTGTTCAAGAGTAGGGTCGATTTAGAGCTTAAGGATATGCTATAGGTGGGAACTGTGCTAGGCGAACGGTTGGACTAGGTGATCTCCAGGGTCCTTTCCAACCTAGATGATTCTGTACGTGGAGTAGTCTTTAAATAGTCCATAATGGTAATACAGTTAAGACCCAAGATGTGATTTTTGAAGTAAATGAGAGCGGCTTTCCTATCCAGAACACTGTTGAGATAACGGCTACTCTTCTTATTCTAGGAGATTGAACTTGCTCCCCACTTTTGTTCAGTGAAGGTTTCATAAGCTGATCCAGACTAAAGGAAGCAACAGTGTGGAGTGGGCGTGTGGAAGACTGAGAAGGAAGAGGTCCCTCATAGCAAAGCTGAATGCTTCTAATCATTATGGCTCACTTATGTGCTTGTCATGAACAATATTTGTGAAAGCAAGAAAGAGATTGCTGAGATAGAGAGTTAGAGAAAGAGACTTTGAATGTTGCAGGCAGCTAGAAAAAGATGTCTGTGCAAAATGCCTCTGCTGGCCAAGAGAGCAAACTGCTGGGATGTGTTGTGTACGCACTTGGATACCACAAGTTTTTGGCCACTGGATAATAAATGTTTGAAATTTGTGTGTGTTGATTTTGATTATGGAAATAATGTTTTATAATCAGAGGAAGAACTGGTAATTAATGAAAACTGAGTGTACCGAAAATAGTAATGTAGATGAACATTCATTGAGTTAAATAAAACATCACCAAAATTTCAGGACAACCTTGAAAACAATAGGTCTGTGGCATGCATCTGTTGTGGAGGCTTATTCTTCAGGCTGAAATTTGCTGCAGTGATACTTTTAAGGCCAGGGCTATGGTTGTATCATTTCTCTTTTTTACCTTTTGACCCTGAAGTATATAAATGGTATTATTCTCTAGACTGGGACACTCCACTAATATTTTTCTTTCTTCATGTCATTCTGTTGAACTGCAGGTACTAGACTGCTAAATTTTTCATCCTCACATTGTTTGATTCACTTGGAGATTTGCATGATAAATCTTTATATATGGACTATGTACATCAAGAAATTGAGGGGAGAAAAAAACAAACCAGAACATGTTATCTCAAGACTAATCGACATGCCAACAAAGATTAAAATATTCCTTTACTGTCTCAACATCTCCTCTCCCCCAGTCTTACGTTCATTTAGAAGATGAGACATTCACAGCTGTCTGAGAGACCTTATCTGTGTCAGACATATGCACAGTTACGGAGTTCGTAGGATGCTAAGGAGTCTGTGTGGGACAGTTTAAAGAGCAGTTCTGAGTTTGGCAGAACTATAGCTCCTGTCTACTTTCTTGTCACTTCCCTTGAATTAATTCTTGCATCAGTTGTCCAATCTGATTGAAAACAAACTTGCCAAAATAAAGTAGAAAAAGTGCATTCTAAGTCCACACGATCCATCAAAATTCTTGTAGACTTCCACTGCAGCCAAGCAGTGTAATTTTTTTGTTTGTTTTTATGTAGCTTGGAGAAGAGCTGAAATGACCAGCTGAATCTTTTGTAACATCTTTCATATATATTTCGTTGCCCCTGTTTATGAGCTCGTTTCAGTTTGTTAATTTGATTTTCATTTTTTTTAAGGATTAGTCTAGTGGCTGTTTGGTGCTTCTCAAGATTTAACATGTAAATGATTATTTAATGCTTATGATTATCAGAAGTTATAAATAGCTTTTTTCCCCCACTTAAATCAGAATTTTGTATTTGCAAAAAGGTTAATATTTTTTTTTTCATTCTTATGACAATCTTTCTTCAGGAAAAAAAAAAGCTCAGAAAGTGAGAACTAATTTTGTAGGTGCTAGAATTGTTGGAGTTCTTCCATTGTTTTTCAGTGTTTCAAATTAGCATGTTCCTAAACAGCCTTAGAAGCTATATTTGAAACATTATTAAAAGACTATCTTTGTATTTTAGTGCCTTGCTGAATTATCTTTAGATTTTTTTAATGCATTTGTGAAACATCTATGTGATCTGATTGTTGTAAAGTATAAGATTTTTTTTTTTTTTAATTTTGTTCATTTTGGGCCTAGATTAGCTTGGAATAGTTAAAACATTTTTAGTTGGGTTTTTTTTGTGTGTGTGTGAATCCAACTAGCCTGACACGTTTAGAGGAAGCTTCTTAGGCAAATTTTTATTCAGCTTTGGTATATGTTCTTTCTGCTGCTGTCAGTGTTTTGCTCACTGTGTTCTAAAATTTGCAATTGGCATGTGAAATTCAGTCAATTAATTTATCATCCCCAGTTTTGAATGTTTATTTCACTTGGGTAATGCAAATGTAGAACCAAAGAAAATGCAGTTCACTGAACGCATTAATTGGTTTCACTGTTCACATTAATTAAATGAAGTGTTCTTGATTGTATGGGAGTGTATAGGAATGTGTGTACAGCTGCTGTTCAGAAATAGTCTTAAGGTTTTTCTCTTTGAAAGAAACCACTTTACCAAAATTTTTCATTTCCTATATATGACTTCCACAACTAAACAAAAACTGGTGCTCTTTGGAGATGTTTTTGTTTTGATAAAGTATTAGTTTCTGAGAAACATGTTCCTGGTTCATGGATTTCAGTGATGGAACTTTAAAGAGTGGTGGTTGTCTCCTTGTTTTCCCCTGGTGGCTACAGTAGTACCTGTTTGCTACTTGTCTGTGAAAGGGGTTTGTGAGAAGTGAATGTGTGCAGTGAACCTCTTCTCATGCAAGATGCAAGATGGTGGGTTTTTGATTGTTTACATGTTGGTAAAGTCACTATGTTTTCTTACAGATTTCACAACGGACTGTTAAATGTTAAAGATGTTCTTACAAGTTTTGACAACACGGGGAATGTCTGTAAGTCATTGTTTATTTAAATACAGAACCATGTTGATAGAAGTCTAATTGTATTGATATAAAGTATTTCTGTATGAGCATTCAGTAACCATTTTATTTAGCTGAGAAATATCATTACTGTTAGAGATACAGACCTTACCTACCAAAGCATTTTATGTGTTACAGTTTTATGTCACACAGTTGTTGTGTGGATATACCCTTAAGTCATCCCAGTGCAGGTTATTTTTGGTTCTGTGGCTGCAGCAGGAACATTAGAGCAGCTGAACTGGGTTGGACAAAAAAATTAGTTTAGCCCGTTGAATTATGTTGGCCAGTGGCCAGCAGTGGCTGTCTGAGGAACAACAGTGCAAGAACACATGAAGCAAACGATACTTCTACCCGGGAGAGGACAAATGCAAACCAGAGAAAAACAAAAGAAAGCACACAGTCAAGTTGAGATTCCTCCCCACAGAATGTTTTGAATTCTAGAATGTGACATGAATTCGAAAAGCAAAGGGGAAAAAATTGTGCAGGAAAAATTCACTGTGGCTCTTAAGTATAAATACACCACTTACGGCTTAGGAAGTATGGAATGTTAGGAGAATTAATTGGGCAGTAGGATGATACCTTTGTCCTGATCTTTCACTTTTTTCTAAGCATCAGTTACTGGCCACATTAACCTGAGGCAAGAGGAGCTGTAAGTGGACCTTCAATGTCTGACCCAGTATGGCTCTGTTTCACTATACTTATTAATAAAATTATCTGTGCTATTAATGGACTTGAATTATAAAATTGTGGTAGATCATGGAAAAGAAGCTGAGCAAAAATATTTAAATATTATTGATGGAGTGAGTAATTACTAATACATAATTAACATTTATACATATAATGCATTTAATACATATACTTTTTGTTTGATTATTTTACCTTATTTTTCAGGTTGGTTGTTTTGTTTTCAAACAAGCAAACTGATAGAATAAAGTTGGAGGGGTCTCTGAGTTTGCCAGATATTCAAGAAATGAGCACGTATCTGTTCTTCCTTATCAAAGCGATGATATAGAATCATTCAGATATATGTGTTTCATCTCAAACTCCAGACGTAGTGTTCCAAAGCTGTTTCAGTGAACAATGACTTTTCATTATCAAAAAGGTCAATTAATTTAATAAACTTTTGCTTTCAAATGGAAAAAAAACCCCATAAACTACATACCTTTTTAAAATTTTCTAGCTTTCATTTGGTTCTGAACGTTGAAGATAGTTGTGTGGTCCTGCCACAAAATACTTCTGGATATATTCTTTATCTGTTGTCAAAGATAAATTTATTCAAATTTCTGAATGAGAATCATATCTAAGGGGTATTTTAATATCCAAATCAGTAATACTAAAGTTAAGAAGGAAAATTTACATTTGTAATTATGGTTGACATCAGCTACAAATGTAGGCATCAGGAGCTGGATGATAAAAAAATTTAGATTAAGACATTTAGGATCTGGAAGAAAATGCTTTGCTTAAATTATGGGAAGCATTTAGAGAGATTTGATGTTGTAGATTCTCAAAATAGGAAGCTAGAGGGAATTTTGTAGCAAGTTACTTTATTCTCATAAACTGTTCTCAGTAAGGGGAAAAAATTAGGAAAAAAATCCAAACTGGGGTTTGGATACAGAAAGAAATAGTGTTATATTAATTCAGTAGATAACAGCTTGAGCATTTGTTCTGAACAGCAAAGAACATTTGGGGGTTTTTGCCTGAAAGTGCTTCACATACTGGATCAAGACAGTGTACCTTGCTCTGTTAAAACATGGTAATATGATTTCTTAATCTTTGTTCTTTGTGTGAGTACTTAGATTGTGATCAATCTGCACAAATTTCCTTGTTAACAAAAATAATATACTCTGCTAAAGTTTTCATATGCTTTCCTATTAATAGATGTGCTGTCAGCTCTTCTGTTAACTTCAAGTATTTCAGCTACTTTCTTATTGACTGCATATGGTAGAACAAGACTTGTACTCTTAACACACAACACCAGTGCTAACACAGAAATAATAGAACATCTGTAGTTCATACTGTTTCTCTGTATATGCAAAGATTCTCATTTGCCCTTTTGGACTCAGTATTGCTTTGAGGGTTTGTGCTGTGCTATTATATACAGTGTTTGCTAAGTCCTTTCCAGATTCACAGCTTCCCCATTTTTAAATGTCTGTGTATGTCTGTATTGATGTACGTATTACTGATTTATGCCCATTTTACTAAACACTCTAGATTACCCTCTGTTAGGGTAACCAAAATAGTTATCTTCTGGCAGCATGCAGTACTGTTTTGCTGTGTAATAATCATACTTTTTTGCCTCCACCTGTATGGAGTAAATGTCTCCAGTGTCCAAGATAAAGTAACTATGTGTCTATCACACCATCATAGTAAAGTTCCCCAACCACATGTTTACTGAGCTGCTCTACTGGGATCATACCTGACTGAATTTGTGTGCACTCCATTATCCCTTGATTTTTTTTGACCTGTTTCTGTGTATTTCTTACCTCTCTTTGTGTTAACCCACAGTGGAAAAGGTAGGTAGCAATCCTGCCTCCTTTTACCCCCAAAGATAACTACAATTGTAGTATTTCTAAAATTATGTTGACTACTTTTTACAATTGCTGTGGTGTTTTTTAAATACTTCATATTATCAAATGACAGTCTACCCTAAAAAAACCCCTCTAAACATTTCTAAAATGTTTTTTTTTTTAACAGCATTAGATTACTACTTCTAGTACGTAATACTAATGGAGCTAGTCAGTGTTGAACATATTAAAAGTTCCATCTACAGTAGCATGTTCTGTGAGGGGTCCCATTGAATAATTCTAAAAGAACACACCACGTAGTCAGAATTTATTCACTGGGCACTAAACTTCACTTAAATGATTTGGACAGAGTTATCAGAAAACAGTTAAATGTTTCAGTGTTCCGTGTGTTTTGGCTGCCATACTAAGTATTTATCAGGAAGATGAATGTTTTGCTAATGATTATTAGATTATAAAATAATTGTGTATTAAACAGATCAGATTTTGTGAAAAGTGCAACATATTGCACATTACATCCTTTTAAAACATAATAATTTGTTTCAAATAACATGGTTTGTGTGGTTTTGGGGGGAGTTGTTTTGTTTCTTGTAGTAATGTTCCAAAGTACCTTGTGTTATAACAAGCTCTTTCAGAGGGCATTTGTATGGTCTTTTTGTTTCAGTTTTTGATCTTTCTGCTTATCATCTTTAACAGCCACATCACCATACACCATCAAAAGAAAAGTGGTAGAGCAGACTCTAGTTAATACCACTTTCTCTACACTCCCAGTAGACATCAACTCAGTACAAGATGTGCCACTAGCTGGCAGCATTATATAAAATATCAATAAGCAGCTTTTGAGGAATACTTGTGACTGTTTCCAAAAGTGCTGCCTTACACCACTAAGACTTCAGGACAAAAGTGGAGCCAATGGCAGTAGCTGTAAATGCGGTATTGCAGGTTCTCCAGTGTTAACTCTGGAAATTGTCTCTGCATGATGTCTTGTCCAAACTTGGTAACTACACTTGTATTCTCTTTTCCAAAAAGATTTCTGAAGATGGATTTTCACTGTAGGATTGTTACTGTGAATGAAAGTTCACATTGCAAATTACAATTGGTTTTCACTTTCCCAGAAAAATGTGAAATTTTTTTTCTCTTCTACTCATCCTTTGTGAGATAGTAATTTCCATGTGGAAACTCTAAACGAATTCTCCACAGAGACAGGGTGCAATGCTAAATGCAATTCATTCAGCTTTATTTCTATACATGAACAGGAGGCAGGGAAAAGAGGACTGTAATGAAGGAAAGGATCAGTCTGTTCGTTTCAGACAACAGTATGCCATCTGTTAAAAAGATGGTACATCCTGAGACCATCTCTAGTCCTAAAATAATCCTTTAAAAGAACTGATGGATCCCAGGCAGAAGGTTCAGTGATGGCATTATAGGATAGCAGCAGCTGGCTCCAGGAGCCACATGCCATGCTCATCCTTGCAGAAGAGAAATCTCTTCTGCAACAGACTGTCCAAAAAGCAAGGAAAATTCTGCAAGAATGAACTTCAGAGAGTATCACCTTCCCCTGCCTTTCCTAGTGGGAGAAAGCAGCTACGAGTTAAATGCTTGTATAATTCTATCACTACAGTAATAATTTCAAATTATGTATACATTTAAATTAAGTGATCAGGGGACAAAATATAAACCTCTTTACTTGCCACCAGTCAAGTAAACTACAATGTCTGTAAAGGAGAATTTTAAGCAGTAAAATACAGCATATTTTGGGATTTTCATCTAGTATCTACCTGATGTTAACACAGAAACAAGATATTCCAGAGTGCTCAAGTAGTATAAAATTGCAGATATACTATGTGTAATAGCAAAACATTTTCTTGTGAACTGCATATAGCATAGTTAATAATGTAACCATTTTGAAGAAACAACATGGTTATTACATATTCATTATATTTTCTACTTGGTTGAGTGTACAATTGCATGTTTTGGAACTAAAAAAACAGCAGAGGGTGCTACAGTTACAGAGCTACTCAGGCACATATTCCAGAATTGTTGCTCCTGCAGGCAAATAGATCCTGCAAAGATTTAGTCTGGAGTAGATGTAAATAGGATAGGTTTAAATTCTGTTCCCTCTGTTTATACAGGAAAACAGGTAATCAATGTGAAATCCAGAAAAAGTAGAATTACATATACACTGGTTTTCTTAAATACTTTTTTTTAAGTGGTTTTTTTTTTGTTTGTTTGTTTGTTTCTGGAAAATGTTACATAGTTTCCTGAAACCATGGTGTTTGGGTATAGCTACTGATACAAAACAAGTACTCACCATCTTCTGAACTGTTGGTGTTTGTGCTAATTTTACCTTTAGAAATTCCAGTCTCTGCAACAAGTTTTGTATTGGAAAATGTTGGGGATTTTTTAATGTGGTGTGTCCCCCCCAATAAATGAGCTAGCTAAATTGGAGAA